TCTATTTCGGCAGCAACATAAAAGTTCAGGGTATCTTTGTTTGAATCCTCTAACTCTGATTTATACTCAGTGGGAAGCTTCTCAACACCATCAACAACTCTAAGAACAATGACTTGATAAGCACTGAAAGAGTGGAAAACAATTAATTCAATCATTCTGATCAAATGTCACAAAGATCACTGAAATATTAAACACAAAGAGTTTTACATATACAAGACCGAAAATATTGTTGAAATAACAGTCACCTTATTGGACCATTCCTTTGTTCTGCGGGCCAAAGTTCAACTTCAGCCTGTGAGTCAGAAACCTTCCTGATGGTCAATGATGGTACAACTGGAGCCAATGGCTCTAAGAGGAAAATAAATTTTACAATATGAATAGCATAACTGTTACACTAAGATCAGTATGCATATTCTCCATACTGATCTCCATGCATTTCCTTAAAGAAGCTGACAAGGAGAATTTGTTTTAAAAATCAAGAACTTCTTCAGTTGGTGATCATTTCCTTTATTCTCCTGACCTTAATGTGTGATTCAGGGGTGATATTGTAAGGAGAAATTACATGTTAGTCACTCTTAGGGGTCAAATGATTAAGAGAAACATGCTTACCTCCTATTTCTGTTTCCTTTTCCAAATAGGTAGGGGATCGCTTGTTTCCACATTCTGAAATTCCATAAACCTGAAACTCATATTTGGTACCTGGTACCAAATTATCAAGGGTACATTTTGTTGTCCCCTGTACATCTTTGCTGCCTTCATGTAAAAAGCTGTTATTGTATGACTTTTTCCCAGAGTACTCAACCTTAAACAATAAAAAAAAAACCCATTGAGTCAAATGCCAATTAATACCACATCTGCCTTAATTTATTTACCAATAAAATCTCTCTAAGTCTTGCATGGTCATGGTCACAGTGCAAAACAAAAAACATCATATTATACAGGAGTTGTCACATGTACATGCAAAATGACATACAGCTGTACAAGTTAAGAAATTCCTCTGACTTACCACAGTAACTTTTATGGTGGCTGCGATCATATATTGTAGTCATACAAATGGCACGTTACATTTTCCCTCGCTGGCATGCTTATGCATTAGGTCAAGTAGGTATGACAAAAATCACAAAAGAACACAGTTTCTGATTTGCAGCAGGAAAATGTTGCAGTACATTTTCCTTTAAAGCCCATGTTTTTTCAGTAAAGTAGATGTCAAAAAAATAAAGCACAGCACCTTCCACTTTTCTCCTGTAGCAGTCTGGGGTCTTTCCCATTCCAATGTCATCTCTTTTGACTGAGAGTTTGTTGCTCCTAGGTTGTTGGGTGCCCATGCTGCTTTGACATATTAGGAAAGAAAACAATGTATGTATCATAGCCTTTTTTTAAAGTTAGTTTCTTCTTTTTTGTACACACTTAGTACCTTTTTTGTTAATTTCCCT